CCCAACCCCAAGGGGTGTGCTGTGGGCTTGGACTCTGATTTTATGCAGAAGCAAGCTCATCCAACAAGTTGTTATCACACATGTTTCTGGGGTTTTCTGGCTGGTGGGGACTGAGTTATACAGACATATCCTGAATGCTGATATTCCTCCAACTTTGTTTTGTCCTGCAGAGCCCTCAGAGCGCAAAACCAAGAAATAGCCTTGACTCTCTTCTGCACAGAGTGGAGAGCAGCAGAAAGCACACTGCACATTTCTGCTTTGAAATCATTCCAACTGAGAATGATCTCTGCCTGGGGTGAGCTTAAGCAGAAAGGGCACTTGCTCTGGGCAGCACAGAGCATGGCTCCATGGTATGTGATCCTCTGGCCCAGACAGCATCAGGTCTGGACACTGACTGTCCCCTGATGCAACACAAACCTCCTGCTGCTGAGGTATGTCCCACTGACTCACCCACAAGCAAGGCTGCCCAGCCCACACTGGAGGTTTCCACCAACAGCTGCAACTGTGAGACATGTTTGCATCAGCTGTGGGATTGAACAACATGACACAGTGGCCAATGTCCCACTCCTCAAGTCACATATCACTCACCAGCCATCACAAGGCACGTTTGATCTGTACTGTCCAAGATGCTTTTAAGACAATATTGTAAGATTAAGAAGTGCAAAAGCCCCCCACTGTTAATAAAGACACATCTATGTGTGCATTGTTACTGGACATCTACCAGAACAACAGCATTGGCTTGAAAAATATTTGGAATATTTGTTCTGGAGGCTTCTAGTTTTCCATAGTAATGAGTAGCCACACATTTACTGTTCCCAGAGGAAAGGGGCAGTTCTGCCTGTGGAAGAAGCACAAGTTGGAACAGGTATCAAGATAAAATATCATAGGCTATCCTCAGGGTGCCAGGACACTAAGTGGAGAAATGCTGAATTAAGAGCAAAGTGAAAGATCACATAGAAAGGACAGGTGGTGGGTTGCAACATGGTGGAAGGGCAACCACCATTTGTCTTTGGTATGTGCCAAAGGAAGGTGTGCACTTGCTTCACAGGAGCAGAGCAATGCCTCGTGTCATGTGCTGTGGGGGTGGCAGCCACACACAAACCATGGCAAAAGCAGCCCTTGCCCCTGCATGTCATCTACACGTGGCTTTTGACAGGGTGTGAGGAGAAAGGTCCTTCTGTCGGTTGGGTGTGAACACCCCTAGAGCACAAGCAGGACTGCTCAACACACAGTGACCATCACTGAAAGGCTGTGAAGACAGCAAAAGGTAGAGGAGGGGGGAAAGCAGCAAAAGAAAGAGTAATTCCCCTCATCTCAAAGGCAGCTCTTGCATATTCTATTTCTTGGCCTCATTAGACACTCTTCAGCAGGCAAAAATAAACCTTTCCTGTGTCTGCATGTGGTCGGTAACTAAATGCCGAGCTCTTCACACGGTGCTTTGTGTGAAGAGGGGATTCAGGGAATCACAAATCCATCTAACCAGCACCAGTCAGGTTATACAAATAACAACAATGGAAACCAAACAAGCTGAGCAGTTATTTAACATAGCCTGACTACGGTGTGGTTCTGAAGCCAACTTTTGGCCACAGCCAAGGCCTACCAGTGTCAGGAGGGTCCTTTCATGGGTTTCAGTGAGCTTGGAAATATGCCCGTGAGATATGAAACAAGAACCTGAACCACTCCTGGTGCTCACGGGGGAAGTGGGGAGTTTCATACTTGCAAAACTGAGTTTCAGCAGTCTGATTTGTGCAGGGAAGACAACAGATTTCTCTCCATCTCTGTCTTTCCATATCACCTTCTTTCAGATACCTTATCTGCTCTTAAAAACAGTCACACAACAGGACTGGAACTCACAACACAAATTCCACACCAGATCTGGCTGTGTTTTCATTGTACAGGGAATGGGACCCATCTAAACTCGTGTAACATCAACTTAAAGAGCCTTTTCTTGTCTTTGCCTCACTATTGTGACAGTGTGCTTCCATGCACCATTTTTTCATTAGCAAAGCTGGCTTGAGGACCTTCCAGCTCCTGGCCTCTTGATCTCAAAAAAATATCTCCTGAAATGCCTCCCAAAACAGTTACTTTGAGGCTCCCAGTAATGCGGATCAGCAAACTGGTCTGAGTTTAAAGTAATCCCTCAAAAATAATACAATAAAGTATTTTTAATCTGGATTAAACTCAGGATTTCTTCTGGAGTCCACAGCTGGACAGCTGGAGATAGACTGTTCCATCACCTGACACTCATTATTGACACTTCTGACATCTCATTATTGTAAGGTGCTTTTCTCTCTTTGATGTGACTATCTCCTGTTGAGAAAACTAGGAGCCTGTGCTAGATGCAAAACTAATTCTTCAGCCTTTTTGCATCCCTGACAGCCATATGAGAGAAATAAGGGAGCTATAATAGCACTCCTATAGGCAACACTCATCAAAGAATGTTATCCTCCTAGGACTGAACAATGCTCTCACACATTCCCAGACATGGGGATGCCAGTCCTGAAATGAAGAGGGCTGCAACTGCTACAGCAGTGCTTGGCTTGTCCACCTGTAAGGTTGCCTGTGGCCTAGCAATGCCCCCTTCTTCAGGCAAATCCCACATACATCCAGTCAAAATACTGCTTCAGGTTCCTGTCCCTGCCACAGTTACTCATCAGTTGTAAATTCAGGCAGTGACTTTGACAGCTGCACTTGCAGAGGACTTAACAGGTTGATGGAATGGGAATGATTTCTCTTTTACTACAGAGAAACTTCCTTGCAAACTTGGGATCAATACACAGACAGGACTTTTCCAGTGATCAGATATTGTACATGGTGTAATCACTGAAGTAAGGTGTACAGGAAAGCCACGCAAGAAATCATATAAGGTATTGACTTAAAATATGGCTTTCAGGATCCAGGTGTAGCAAGTGCAATTTCTTCTGTTTTACAGACACATTGAGGAACAAAGGTTACACCTGAGGCCATACCAGTGGTTTGCAATTAAGTGGGGTGTGAATTCATGTGTCCTAACTCCCAGTCTTGCCTCCTAACCACTGCCCGGCTTCTTCAGCAGACACAGGCCTGTTTCTTCAGGCATTCCCTGAAAGTCTCCATAAACCAGGACTTCTAATCAGACCAAGGGTACAATGTTTGTAGTCCCAGTCAGGCCCTCTATGAATGTTCTTCAATCATTTTGTGTATCCCAGCTACTGCTGTCAGGCCTTCTAACAGCTGGTTAGAAAGGCCTTTTACTAGAAAGGTGAGGTCTTGGTCTGAGCCATCCTCGTGTCAAACAGTCTGGGGTAGTTTTGCTGACCTCCCTCTGATGTCAGACTAAGTCCCATTATCTCTAAAGCAGGAATATAACGAGAAGTCTAATGTTTCTGTGAGACAGTGGGGACTGCTGACAGACATTTGTGCTATCTTTGGGACAGGAAAAAGAGCTGTGTGTCAGCTGTTCTGTAGTGACTGCTCAAGCACATACTCATATATGTATATATTACATGTATATATATCACATACTAATAGGCAGTAGCAAATTCTGTCTGCCCTTTGCTTATGTGCAACTAAACAAATACAAAAGGTGGAGTGATGGGACCATGCCTGGGCTTAGTGTACCTAGAACAGTGTTGGCTCACCCTGAATACAGCCCTCAGGATATGATACAGTCTGGCTGATAGACCACACTCTTCCATACACACTCACACAGTAGTTATGACCAGTTAATTCATCTCCCTAGACATTCTGACTACATATGCAATTGTGCCCACATTAAACAGCACAAGTCTAGCTATAGAAATAGCTAATAGCTACTAGCTATTTCATTTTACCTGTAAAGAGAATTTATTCAAAAGATGATGTTAAAAAAAAAATAGATAAGTCTGTAAGCTAAAATGCTCAGAATTTGTAAAGGGCTTGAAGGACAGATACTCTTCAGGATGGATGGGACAAGACATTTCTAATACATTCCAAAACTAACACAAACTAGAAGGGGTACCAATCTACACAGGCTTGAAACACAGTGAATGTTTGCACAGACCTCAATACACACAAACTGGAACTGCTACATTTCAACCTTGCCAGCATATGCTTCACAGGCTACCACGTCCAACGGCCCTGCAGCTTTCTGTGGCTTTTCATCACAACAGTCAGGTTGCATGATCTTTGGTGCTGCTTGTGAATCCCAAAAGCCATCTGGAACCCCCTGCTTGGGATAACCCTTCATATCTCAAATTTTGAGATCTAATCTGCAAGGCTATCTCTAATCAAATGTTTTGGATCTGGGCTCACAAAGGTTTCTTTAACCATAATGTTTCTTCCCTTTGTTCTTTCAGAATTTGAAAACAAACAATTTCCCTTCAGAGATGCTTGTTTTCCATAAGTTTCTATAGACATGATTTCATACACAGCTGTCAGATGCTGCACTCTGCTTCTATGAGTGTTATATGTGGGTTTTACTCTTCAGTAAGCTCCATCAGTGATGGAACTACAACTGTCAAATGTTGTAATAGCTACTGTACAATTTAGAAGAAGCAGAAGGGAACCTAATTCAAACCAGGTATCTACTAGAATTCACATTTCTGTTTAGATGATGTAAGAGTGTATCACCATATGCAGGCTTTGATGATAATAATAAGCCATATCCCCTACTATGCAGTCTTATCCCTCCTTTTTTGCACTTCCATTATCCCCTCTCATTGAAAACCCACCGTAGTTGGCAGTCCCCAACTCAGAGTCCTAACTTTTCAACACAAGTTGCAAGGACTGGTGCTGGCTCCTTTGGATGCTCTAGCCCAGTCAGACAAGCACTTCGCAGCAGCCAGAAATAGTAACCATCAAATGATGATATTATTTTCTCTTTTAAGTGCCAAGAGACTCAACAGCCTGTTTGTGTCCTGTGAATTCTGGTATGTGCTGCCTGCAGTGTCTGTTTCTATATATTCCTGCCAACTGCATGACTTCATTCAGCTTCGTGACATTCCAGACAACACAACACTGAAAATAACACTTGCACTTACCTGAGCTGCCAGTGCCTTCCGATGCACTTCTGGATGTTTTTGGCTGGCTCTGTTTGCTACTTGTCCGTACAGTGACCGAAGGAGGAACAGTGCTGCTGCTGTCTCCACGAATTGATGAGAGATCCTGCATGCTAAAGCTCCTTAGTCTCTCAGACAGGGCCCCCTGACCCTAGTTAAACAAACAAGCAAATAACACACATAGAAGTTAGATTCCACAGTGCATTTTGAGCCTTTCTCCTCCCTAGCTGATTGAAATCCAACAGGATCAATAGGAAGATAAAACATTTTCTGTTCCAGCAACCTAGAGAGGACAAAAACGAGTTGTTAAAAGCCTAATTTCTCTCTCTTTGCTCTTTCTTCTGGAGTGGTTCTAGGCACAAAGTCATTTAGACTTTTGACAGTGAGCATCTCTGATTCTTCAATGCAGTCGTTTGAGCTCAGAGCAGCCTTGGATGCATCTAAAGGAGGAGGATGTTGTTTCTAGTAGCTGCTTTTCTTCACTAGGATCTGAGACGCATAGGTGCTTGGCTTCAGAAAGACAATTAAATAGTCTGCATCAAAACTCCCATTCAATCATCTATGATGATCTTCACTCAGCTGTTCTGTCATACACAGACTTTTCAGAGCACAGAAATTTTGAAATTTTAAAGTAATCAATGCAAAGAAACATTCCAGTGCTTTCTTCATGTAGCTTAAAGAAGAAACAAACCAACACCACCTTTTTCTTTTTAGACTTGCTCTCAATCAGGCAACATATTCCTTTGCAAAAGGAATGTAGCTCTTCTTTATTAAGGATGAGTTGGTTAAAAGATACCTTTCATTAAAACTACATCCTACCACAGAGTTGACTATAAGCATTCCTCTTTCTGAATTCTGTAACACTCATGCTACACCACTGCCATAAAGTAAGAATACCAATATAATTAATAAATACAATCAATACAGAACTTATCTATTCTTCTCTCTTGGATACAGTAAGTAATATTCAGAATATAAATAGCATTACTGATAGAAAGTACACTTAAGCTTTAGCATGTTGTTGAGGGGAGAGGGTCTGAAAGATATTTCATAGCATATTGCCTTATAAAAAATACTGAAATAAATACACAGAGTCTGATCCTAAAATTATTTCTGCTCGTGTAAATTAGGAAAACTTCAATGGATTCTTCGACTGAGATGAAATCAGAAATATGGCAGACAGTAAATACTGCCCTGTTTAACAAAGCACGTAGAGCAATTAACACACCATCTTAATTTAGACCTGCAACTGCCACAGCAGTAGGTGAGAGGAAGCACAGCCTGAACACTGCCTAGCTACTACAAAGAAGTTTCCACATACCCATCATGCTCTTCCTGAAGACATACTTTGCTCTGTCTCATTAGCCTGTTGTACTTAAAGTATTTTAAATTAATGGCTCTTTTTTTGCTGGTATACACAGACATTTTGTTCTGCTTCTTTTATAAGCTTGGCAGTGGAGTTCCAGGTCTGATGCTTTGTTTGAGTCTCAACTCTTTTATCTCACTTTCCAACCTGCCACAATAGTTGATGTCTGAATTTTGGCTGCTTTCCTGCCAGGTCCTAAGCCTCTCTTGAGACATCTTTTTTATTCTTAGCCCTGTCTAAGGTACATCTATTCTGCAAGTCTACAACACAGCTGTCACTGGTGTACTGAAATTTCCTTGCAAGGCTGGTTAGTTGGTGTGATCTCACCTGCCCAAAACTCAGTGCAGAGCAGCTGGAGGGGGGGGAGGGGTTGTCTGTAGCTTGCACTAAATCCCTGAGCTGCAGCCAGGCCAGAGTCTCAGCAACCAGTTTAAAGCCAACACAAGCCATCCTACCCTGCAGTAGAGAGCAAGCTGAGACCAGTCAGATGGCTACAGAACGTTTTGCTGTTGCAGAAGCCCTCAGCAGAGCTGGAGGGATAGATAAGGCTGCTGTAACCTGAGCGCTGCGCTACTCCCGCTCCACCAGCTCAAGTGTCAGCAGAGCTCAAGCTTTAACCTCCTCCCAGCCCTCCTGCTCAGCCAGCTCACCCAAACACGATTTCATCCCAGCGAGTAATTTATGTATCTGGACACGAATCAGGTAAGAGATGAAATTCAAACATCAGACCAACCTGGAATCGAAGATGATGCTATCGCATCATTTTGCATTGAAAATGAAGAAGATATGTTAATATTCTTGCATTGCAACTTGTGACAGAGCAGCACATAATGATCAAAGGCCTCAGAGAGAGCTTTGAAACAAGGACATGACGTGTGCCTGTCAACTGTGGGTCCACTACATTACCATATAATATGTACAACCACAAGCTTAAACACACGGTCACAGCAGCTGCCCTGAACAACCTTGACTTTCTCCAGGAGGTGAAAAAAAATAATAGTCTTTTCATTATCTTTGCTTTAATTTCACCTGAGTTTACAACAGCAAAGATAAGTGTTGCTCATCACACAGATAATAACAAAATATTACTGTTCCTATGATGCCATGAGACATTTTGTCCAAATCTGATAAATGGCAGCAATAGAGAGGCTCAGACTGAGTGAGGGCAGGGAACAGGTGTGAAACCCTCCTCACTTCCCTTCAATTTATTTTCTTTCAAATGTTTGCACCTGCCCATCTTTGCAGGTATCGACTTGATTTAATTGCTCCTAGGGCACAACATAACACTCAGAGTTCTTTCCCAGTTGCCACATTTCTACCTGACCCCAAACAGAAATATGAGAAAATCTAGGATTACAACAGAACCAGGACGGTTTCAGAGTAAAATGGAAAATGTTGTTCCCAACCTTCATTTCCCTGTCAGATAATCTGCTGTATATGAAATCAAAAGCATTTGAAAAGTCAGCAGGGTGAGAGTTTGCACTGCTGCAGTTATGGCTTAGCAATAAAGACTTTATCCAGCTGTAATGCTTATTATTCTGCAGTAAGATACATCATTTATTAACAAAAGAAGAAAAAAAAAGAAAAAAACCCCAACAAGTTAATAGCTTTATTTCATAACAGAACAGATTTAGCACAGCTCACATCTTGGGCTGTGTTTGGTTAAAGCAATCACGTGGAAGATGAGGAGCAGATGTTTTGGAGATTTTTGTTTACTGTCTTGGCTGTGATCATACAGTTGCTCTTCCAGCAGCTACAGACACAGGAGATATCCCAGGAATTTCAGCACACTGTCTGTCTGCACAGAGAGATCCAGATCCTGAAGCTATGTCCATGCTGCAGGCCAGAGGCACGTTTGCAGCATGTCCACACTAATCTGAGCTAGTTTTATCCTAGAGAGTGTGACAGCCCTAACTGTGGTAACATTGCACCGTGTCAACAGCAAAGAGCAGGGTGGCATGATATAACCTTTTGAAAATGGGGGCTAGAAGGTCTATGGGACTGTGGATGACACCACCTCTCTCTTGTTCCCCACTGAACACCAAGTGTCCTGTCAGGGTGACCTGTTCTGGCAGTGTAGGACCTGTGTTTAGGGAACTTCATCCTCTAATAGAAGATACAAGCATTAAGTGGTGCTGGAAGACTGAGCCTTACTCTCCCTGGACACAAAACTGTCTACCCTGACTTAACTTCTACCTCCTGCAGCTTCTCCTAGGACAGACTGTCCTTGTAAACACAGCACTTCTGATCCAGTACACAGAGATTTTGCTAGATGGTGGCAACATGTCTCTGTTCCCTGCTCATTATAGTGTACCTGCTCCAAAATTCATCTGATCTTCTTGTCCCAAGGAAGGTTCACCCCAGAGGTGAAGGTACAGCACAAGCTGAAGGTGGACCTCTTCAGACTTCCTTCACTTCCCCACCTCCCAGGGCCCACCAACCTCGCTGGGTTCAACATGGGACAGTTTTCTCTTTACAGGGGCAGAGGAGGGCCAGGGCTCAGTGCTGGTGAACAGGACAAAAGACAAATACTGAAAAGGACATGGTAATATCACCCCTCTCAGTGCTATCACTTGGTATCAACGTTATTTAGATTCATGACACCACTAATGGTATTAGGACATCTCCCATCAAGACATGGACATTTAAGCTGCAGAAGTTCCTCTGTGATTCTAAGGGAAGATAAAGCTCCCACCCATGTGGCACAGTCATTAATATTAATGTAGGTACATCTCTACCTGCTTTGGACAAAATTACAACTGCACTATAGGTACACATCACATCCCCACATCCATCATATCCTCTCCTTGTTTTTGTTTTAAAGAGTGGGACAAAACAATAGGGGAGAAACATGAGCTTGCAAAGCCAGCTGACCTATGTGCTGCCTTCTTCTAAATGGTGCAGACACCTTCATCTCCAGAAATGAACACTGACCTCTGGGCTCAGAGCACAAACACTGACGCAACCAATATTTGCTTGGAAGGCTCCTTTCCAAAAGGATCATTATTGTGTCAGGCACTTAGAGGCACTCCCATTAGGAATAGCTGGAATTGTCTTCTTTACTTTGTCTCTCTGTAATTAATTGTTGCATTCACATTAGAAGTAAAACTTTTGGAGGGAGATTGATGCAGGAGTCTGGAAAAGCTGGGTTTACATCCAATGCAATTATTCATTAAAAATACTCCACACATGCAGGTAGCTTTACATAGGCTCTAGGTAAATAAAATTAGGCCCATGATTTAAAAAAATCTGCAATTTATATAACAAAGTCCCATTAAATATGATCTAAATATAAACAAATAACAGTGTCTAGATTTTATCATACCTACAGTCTGACAATCTGAAATAACTCTGTAGATATTATTTAGGTTTCAAAACACCTTTAATACCCACAAACTCCATTTTACAAGTATGGAAACTATAACACAGCATGGTGAAGAGCCACAAATCAAGAACCAAAACATGTAAAGTCATAGAAGAGAAGCTTGTAATACAGTCAGTGTTAATGCAAGATGGCACCTTCTAGCCTTTTGCATCTTAGGATCAGCTGTTAATGGACAAGCAAGGGAACACTAAGTCAGGCTCACCACACTTCCAGCACAATGGTAAACCTGTTAATGTTCTCCTCTCTTTCTGCTGTAACTTTGGTTAGCAGCTCTCCTCCATGCTAGCAGATACATCTGCATGCAGCCTCCATCCTGCCCATAATCACTACAAGGTGTAGTGCATGTTCCCAGGATGTCACTTACTGCTGTGGTGTCAGCAGGACTTCCCCAACCACAGCTACCACAAAATGCTTGCAGAGATGCATCTTCACTTCTGAGCCAAATCCTGGCCTCACTAGCTCCACTGCAGCCCCCGCCATCCTAATGAGATCCCAGCAGTGGGGAGAGGCTCCCTTTATCCATCAGCAAGGAAACAACAGCATTCACAGCAGCTTGGCCAATGCAGTAGCAACAACAACCTGTGTTAGCTGCGTTTTCCACATACAAAGCTCCCTGCCTGGCTGCTGGAGTCTCTCTGGTTGCCAGCAGAGGACTTGGAAAGCATTTTGCTGATGGAATCAGGGACAGGCTTTTAAAGCTCAGCACGCAGGATCTACCTATTGGAAGCAGTTCAAACTAGTCTAATGGGGAGGCAGACATTAGCTAAGGGTTAGTATAAGCACTCAGCAGATTACCTGCCCTTTTTTCTGGTCCAAATACCAGTGTAAATGAAGTAGCTGAGAGACCTAGCAAGGGAAAAAAGAGAGCCATTGTGGCAACACACGTAAAAGCTTTGAGAATAAGGTCTATTTGAAGCATAAGTAATTGAGGTGAGACATGAGCATGACACTGGGCACCATGTGCAGGGACTCACATAAACATACAAAGCAGTGATACCCACCTATGAACTACACCTTTGGATGCAGGTTCTCCCTTCCTCAGCTTTCCCAGAGAGGTGGAGAAACCACTCCATAAACCCAGCTGACAAGGTATGTCCTAGCAAGTGTGTTTAAAGAGTAAGGCAAATTATAGACACAAAGGGCTGAGGCTCCACTCCTTGCCCTTGATCAATGCTTCCCACTGGAGAAACTCCCAGTGTGTGGCCACCTCTGTAATCCAGACTTAGGATCTTTAAGAACAGAGTGCATTTATGACTAATTTAGGCACAGCATTAGGTGAGAGACACGTGGCAGTCAATTTAGTCCTGGTGACAGACAGGTCTTCTGGGAATCAGGTCAACACTGAGGAATTACTTACAGAAATGAATGGCAGTTTGCATGCAGAGGTGTATTGTTTGTGGCCGCAGACAGGTCCTGCTAAGAGCTTTATGATCTGAGCATGGGCTTGAGTGAAGGAGGAAATTGCTTCTGCTGCCATATGAACACAAAAACCTGCCAGCAATATCCTCACAGCCAGGGCTTGCGTGCTGTGCCTAGCCTGAAACAGCCATCCCAGTCTGGAGATGTCAGACAGCACTGAAGAATCAAAAGGAAACCAGCTGACATTAATGTTGATGGTGGAAACTCAATTTCATCCGCCCTTTCTGTTTGTGCAGTTCATTTCCTCTCCTGGGAACTGTTTATTATTGTCTCTCCCAGCCTGGTCTCTCTGTTTAAATTTACTGTTTGGTTCTGCTGTCCTGTACATTCACTGGCTATTGTCTGATTCTTGGAGACACCAATGGAAGAGCCAACAAGAGAGATAAACTGGGAACAGCTACCTGGACTGTAGTTTAAGCAGCGCTGGGTTTTTATTGATTTGGGAAAAGCAGACTCTCAAAGACTTAGGAATGAAAGATACAGGAACTGTATCATGACAGGAACTGTTCACAAAACAGTGTGATCAGTGGCACGCTACCATATGTTTCAAGAAAGCCATGTGTTGTTCCTCTTTATTGGTGTAACATAGCTCAGCCATGAGTTCTTTGATTTTGGATTCCCAATGGAGATCCTTCAAAGGAAGCTACTTTCAAAAGCAGCATGCTCAGCCCCACTGAGATAACACTAATTGCTTCCCAAAGGTTTCTCAAATCATGGATTATAATCACTCCTGACTTCTGCAATTCTTGGCCATGTCACAGACCAGGGCACACAGTGTGGCCATTACAGGTAGGGTACTAAGCAGATCAGACAACTGTTCACTGATACATCTGATAAGCAAAGAAACAATTTCCTTCCAAGCAGTGGGATCTCATCATTACAAAGAGGCTTTATCCAGCCTCCTCAAGGGAAAGATGCTCCCCACTCCTTGTTTCCCTCTTTCCTAGGTCAAGTAAAAGTGCAGTTCATACTGTCATGCCACAAAAGGCAGCATCTCTCTCCTGCACAAGCTTGGGCTTCAAATTCCTCCAGTAAAGAGGTCTCAATTCTCATGGAAAATTAGGGATCAACATACTACCTTTCAAGCAGCTGCACTGGCTATACCAGCCAGATACTAGAAATTAAGGAAAAGATGCTGTTTGTCTAGAAAGGATAAAATCTTAAATGATCACCAGCATTTCCCTTCCAGGGTCCTGGTTTAAAAACTAGCAAACACAATGGGAAAATTCCCAAAAAATTTATCGGGCTAAGGGACCCTAAAGTAGTGGAGCTGCAACCCCCACGGGGTGCTGAGCCCAGAAGTGAAAACATAAGTGACAATGCCAGGACAAGACAGGTGGATGTGAGCTGAGGCAGTTTGGCAACTGCTGACACTGCACTTCTGAGGGCTGAGGAGGTGGATGTGCCACACTGAAACCCTTCTCTTTCATCTGTCTGCATGCCTGGTCCTTTTAACCAATAACCAGAGTGATTACTAGCTCTGCCAGCACCACAAGACCCATTCCCCCACGCATGAAAGACTCCTGGACTGCTTCTCAGACTTATTAGGCACAAACGGGCTTTTCATTGACACCAGTCATGCATGCCTGCTCCCTCCACCTCATTTATCATCTCCTGCCAAGGCACAGTGCCCAGTGCCAGCAGCACGCTGTGCCCCCTACTCCCCTTCCAAAAAGGAGGGCAGTTCCAAGGAGCACACAACAGGCCACAGCACCAGCTACTGTGGAAACAGTCCCTGCCCTACACACAGGAGAGCAGAAGAAGGGCAGAGGAAGGCACATTATCAGAAACCTCCGGGCAGCGAGATGTTTTCTGCAGCTGTCCTTTGAAGAGCAGAGTTGAGGCTGCAGCCTGGGGATGGTTAAGTGGTTAGGAGCAAGATTTGTCTTGAGGTGGGGGAAGACATTGGCCTGTTTGGCAGACTTGGTTTGTTTGGGGTGAGGAATAAGTATACAGGCAAATAGAATCTGGGAAACCCAGGAGCTTGCAGGAGAGGGTCAGAGAGCTGGGTGAGAGCGTAGAACTGGTGATAGGGTTGTAGAAACAGAGGAGGCAGTGACAGAGCTGGGCTGGGTCTTGGCAGAGAAGCAGTGAGTACAAGGGTTGGGGACTGGGGACAGGGCAAGGCAGCAGTTGGTGGGAGGCTCAAGGTGAGAGGTGGAGAATGAGAAAGTTCTGGGAGCATGGAGACAGTGAGGTAACACTGGAGGAGGCTGGTGCTGCATCCAAGCCATTGGCACCTCTCCTCACTGCAGGCACACACGTCCCAGCTGCTTACATGGAAAACCTGCCTGGTGGCACTTTAAAGCTCACTTATGGTCAGGCCTCCAACTGACAGATTCACTGTAAGGCCAAGGCCCTGCACCTGCCCCACTACCAGCCTTGTAATATGCCTTGCTGCTGCTCCTCTTCTGCTGTGTCCCAAAAGCAGGCTCCTTTTCTGCCTCTCCTCTCCTTCTTTGAGGTAAATTAGAAAGGTGGTGGTGGTCAGTGCCTAGTTCCCTTCAGGAGCAGGAA